TCAGCTCTACAGAGGAACAGAGCCGGCACACACTCACACATATAGAAACGCAGGCACTTAAATGGGCAAAAAGTGCACAGAAGTCGAGGCAGAAGAAAGATCGAATGAGGGAAGGAGGGAGGGAGAGAGGGTGTCAGGCAGGAAGAGCATAAAATTTATGAGGAGCAAGTAGCGGGGGTATGAGAGACATGATAGAACAAAGTAAGCAGGGAAGGACAAATAAGCTGTGCGAGGATACAAACAGAATGATCAATAGAGAAGTGCAGAGAAAGCCGTGAGCGTGGTGTGAGGAAGGGAAAAGGACGGAGTAAACACAGAAGTGGTCGTACCGTGTATATAAAGACGCCTAAAAATAGCATAGTTGTTAATTATAATTTATTAGCTGTTGATGTAATTAAATGAGATTAAAAGGAATAGTTCAACAGTTTGGCTCATTAAGAGAGTTATATAAATATAAGGACACCCCATTGGAATTTGTGGACTTTTTCAACACAACTTGATCTTAAATTCAATTTTTCCCAATGAAAGTACTTTTTCACATGACTGCACTTGCATGTCTATTCTTGCGATATCAAGCTTCAGCCAGCAATCAGTTGGCTTGCAGCTTAGCATAAAGCGCATGAGGAGCAAAATATTTCTCCCACCAGCATCTTTAAAGATCACTAATGACCACATGGTAACTAGTTTAATTAATGCAAGCACCAAAGTAAAAACTGTGATTTTGAGGGAGGTTATGTGCCGGATTATTTCTTGGCAACTTCCTGAAGTCTCCATTGGTTGCAGTATGATGTTTTTTTGTACAGATGAAACTATCAAGATAATATAGCATGTTACTTAGTGAGTGCTTTTATTACCTTCTAACAAAGCAATGCTAATCATTTCCCCTGTGTGTGTCCAGTGTTTGTGCTAAACTATGCTAACTGACTCCTAGCTGTAGCTTTATATTCACTGTACAGACACTGGTATGAAGCTTTGTTTCCACATAACTTGGTATGCAAGTTTACAAAGTTTACAACAGCCTTGATTTTGTCTCACACATTTTTTTTTTTAAATTTGAAATTATAAAAATGTTTTCCTTTTTATTTTAAAGATTTGTTTTCCATGTTTTTCAAATGCACATTAAATGTCACTTTTTTCACTTAAAAAAAAAACTGAAATTATACAAAATTTTTCTCTCTTTATTTTAAAGATTTGTTTTCCATATTTTTCAAACACAAAAAAATCACTTTTTTAACTTTACTTTTTTAAATTTGAAATTCTACACATTTTTTTTATTAATTTTTTAAAAAATATCAATAAAACTACTAAAATAGACATGTTTAATGAAAGATAACGATAAAAGCGTGTACCTGTGAATACCTATATGTATATTTTCAATTAAATACATTTTTATTTTGCATTGTTTTTACAGAATATTATTGTCCTGCCTGCAAAAATATTGCTATTGTGTTGTTGTTGTTTTCTAACAGTACGGACGCAGGTAGTTGGAAACACAAAATAGCCAACAGGCCTTTTAGTTGACTGTCTGTGTTGACAGCCAAATTGTGTAAATGTATAAATAAAAAGAATATTTATTAGTCATGAGAAAGAGAATGAGAAAGGTGTGGAGTTTCTTTCTGTATGAAGCGGCAAAGAAAATTGTAGCAGCATGTGCTGACGTCGTATTTTCTGTGACTGTTACACATGATAACGGTATTTTATAGAATTTCTGTGCAACATCATGAAGGTAAATAAGAAGCACACGAATGTTTTAATATTAAATCCAGGTTATACAGTACGGATACGGATGATAACATATCAGTGTGCATATATTCCCTGCCCTCCCCCTCTGTGTCCTTAATTCTACTCCATATAGAGCCTCCACCTTGCCCATGCCCCCCTCACCCACTGCAGCTCCATGACTCCCCCCCTTCCTCCTCCTCCTCTTCCTCCTCTGTACATAACAAATGAGGGACCTCCTCCAGCTGGACAGAAGTAGGTCTCGGGAGGAGCGGGGCGGTAGTAAAGGGTTGAACAGGTACTGGCGAGAGCTGGCCGGAGCAGATACAATCTGATGAATGGCCAACAAACGGAGCGAGAAGAGCGAGGGAGGAAAAAAGGGGAGAGGGAGGGATGATGGGGAGCTATCATTCCACTTCCGTTCTGTCTGGCTTCATGATGATGAAGGCCATTACTCAAACAAAGAGGACTCCACTCCCCAGCTCACTGTCTTCTCTTTCTTATTGTCATTTGCTGTCTTTGTTCACCCTCCAGATCTGCCCGTTGTCTGTCTTTGTCTGAATGCTGTTTGTTCACCGCGTATTCCGTATAGCTAAATAAGCGACAACAAACATCAATAAGTAATTAATACAACTCTGGCATTTAGAAGCAAAGATCTATATCTGTTTCCCGGATTTGTTATGGTACCCGATGATCCCTCGGTGGACCTAAAGTACATTTCATTTCTTCAGTAATGAGGCGCTGCCCCTCTAGCGTCGCCATTATTGAAGATAAAGATAAAGATACGTTATTACAGATCTCTGGTCATCTTTGTTGGAAGCATATATGCTCTATTTATTGAAATTTATTTTCTCACACAAAATAGGTCCCTGGATTATAATGAATTCGCCTGCTGAATTTTTAGCCGCACCGCCCGCGATAGTGTTGATTTATGTTTTAACATTAAGGGTTGAAGAGCCAGCAGGGAAATTTGCTCTCTTCACTCATAAGTGCAACACCCTGTGTGTGTGTGTGTGTGTGTTGCTTATTACTATTACTCTGGCATGTGAACATCATTTCACCTATCTTCATTTTGTTATTTAATGCAGCACTCCTCAGTTCCAATTAAAAATGTTCACAGTCCCCGCTCCAGACGTGACCGATTACGCTTTGTGTTTTCAATGTGTCTTTTTCTTGTTAAACTGCACATACAATACACACTGAGAAGCAAACACTAAATTAACCTTGTTCTTATCCCCCCCTCCCCGGCAGCTACAGCGGTATTACCTCAACCAAATTAACATCTTTATTTCCGTCCAACACATTTTTATGCACTCTGAAGTCATATTTTAGAAGAATAGATTCACTTTTTGGAGAAATGCGCTCCTGGCTGTGTGGGTACGTGTGATGCAGTCAGTTAGCTTAGCATCAAGACTGGAAACAGCTCCTACAAAACCAACCCAACATGTAGACAAAACCTTATTCATCTTGTTAAATTCAGCCTACGTGATGGCCATCCGTGCATCTAGCTAACGTGAGGATCAACATAGACAAAAGATAGGGACTATATCAGCAGGACTGCAGCTTCGATGCAGGCAGATGTTATGGCCACCCGAAGATGAGGTAACATTTTTACTCCTCTCTTGTCCGCACTCAATCATCCATAAGAAAGACCATTTCCACACCTCTCCCAGCTCAATCTCAATTAATGATGGGAGGTGAGCAGTAAATTTAGATTATTAAAATGGCTTCAGTGCTCCGCTGAGTCAAGGTAGAAGAATGTGTGTAATTAGGAAGCAAGCAAACACACTGGAGTGGGGAAATGGAGTTGTTTTCAATTAAGGCCTGCAAAGCAGAACGCACTTAGCTGGTGGACCAGCCAGAACCTGATAGGACTGATTGGTGCTTAAATTGACAGAAGATCCCATTAAAGCAGCTGCCGAAGATGTAAATAGTTATGAAGTTGTGTTCATAAGATGTGAAGGTGTTCTGCGAGCCGGTCTTTGTGTCATTAATGGGGAAGCGGCAGGAAGAAGGGTGGAAATTAAGCTACGAGAGTACGTGCAAGTTGCATTTGTGTGTATGACATTTTAGCATACATAATCCCATTAAATGCAGTCAGTTATGGAGTGGAGCGTTTGGCAGCAGTCCTTTGTTTTTCTGTTGAAAATCAGCCAAAGCTTTTGTTGTGAAGTTGGCTCAGCCAGAGCATGAATGAATGGATTAGATATGAGAGCAAGTCGCACAAGAGAGCCGACGGGACGGTTGAGTTTACTGCCCATATGAACTGGTTGTGACTTTATTAATGTCCCTATTAATTCCCAGCGCATGGCCGTGACACACAAAGAAAAGCCGTGCTGCCTGGCAACTTTCAGGGATCAGAGGACGGTGTGTGAAGAGACATGCTCGTGTAACTAAAAGATAAAGTCACACTAATGCTGTGCCGCCTGCATAATGAAGGCACTGCTGTCAGGGAAAATTACCTTTGGCAAAAGAACGCACCAGTCACAATACGACACCACGTCAGCACAAACACTGGTGGAAATTATATATGGAATATAATTACTGTATCAATATATTTTGTTGACGGAAAGGTGAAGTGCAACATTGCATGGAATTAGAATTGGGGGAGAAAATACGGTGATGCAGGACAAATCGCAGCTTTGCATCTGTCTTTCTAAATTAGGGTTGAAAGGTGAAAAACGAGCTGCTCATTTTAATCAAACCAACAGCATCTGTTGGCCCTTACGTGCCTACGAGCTTTTAAACCTTATGTTCACCGTTGATTTCAGTTACATTTGGGCTCATTATGTGAATTTCATTCGTTCCACACCGGAGCGAGTCTTAACCCTGTTAAATTGCAAACAGTCAAAGGTCATAAGTACATTTTTTGACACGCATGAGAGAAATTACACCACAGGCTTCACAATAACGTATATACATATAATCAGTTTCTTTTAATTACAGGACTTTATTTGCTCTCTGCACATTTTATAATTGTGGTTTACTAGACTACCAGAAGGGACTTTATGCCAAACTGTGGCATTGGAATGCATCATCAAAGCTAATTTCACACTAATGAAAAAATCCTGCATGTTGCATATTTAAGTGAGCTGTGGAGCAATTACAAGGTGTTTATCTGGGGGAAAAAAAGTGCAATAAAAAAAAGCAATGTTCCAAATTGCATATAGTACCTGAGGAAATTAGAATACAACCATGCACACACACTTATTGACTGATAATACTGTGTATTTGCATACACAATACAATGTTCTCTGCTTTTTTTTGTGTGTGTGTTTCAGCTGCGTCCAGGTGAAGCCTTCACTGTGTATCACACCAGTCCTACGCTGTCCAGTCTGTCCAAACCTGTGGTGCTGTGGACTCAGCAGGATGTCTGCAAGTGGCTTAAGAAACACTGTCCTCACAACTACCTGACCTATGTAGAGGCCTTCTCCCATCACGCCATTACAGGTGCAGAGCACGACACATGAAGACGCACTGTGTTTTTTAGCATCAGTTCTTAGTGAAACTCTGTACTCACTGTGCTTCTTGTATTGTTTTGGTAGAAAATGTCCATTGCTACACCTGTTTGTAGTCTAAAACATAAAAAAAATTGGCCTAGAAGTGGTCTGCCCGATGTTAGACCTTGTTCGCTGACCTCTGCTCCTTTCAATAAGCACAGAAGCGATGCTTGTTCGGACTGACACATTGCGAACCGACGCCATAAAAGGCTTAGCAAATCTCGCACAAGTTTTATTTTTAGGTTTGTGGTTCCACAGCTTAGCTTTTTCAACTGGAAACAGGTTTACATCCAAATCTCTGCAAAGGAGATTTAAAAGGCATTCATGTGAGGTAACGAAAGGAGTGCAGCCTATTTTTGGAGAAGAAAGGCAAAGCTGCGGAAAAAATGGTGGGTTATCGTGTTTCGAGTTCAAACAACACGCTCTCGCACACATTTATTTGTCAGCAAGCCCACACAAAAAGCATGCGAGCGCTCCTCGCACACCCCAACTGCAACACACACGAGCGCACGTTTGTTCACACACGTCCCGAGCCTTGACGGACCAGACGGCCGAGCAGTTTCTTTTTTAGTGTCTCACTGAGAACAGATTGCTGTTCTGTGCCGTAGGGTCAACCACCACTCACTTAAATTTGCATGCACACACACATACACACAAGCACTTAGACACACACACACACACACACACACTGGCTCGAGGGTTAACAGTGCTGCCACTGTCATAACTACAGCGGCTCGGATCAGGTCATTTTTATTTATGTATTCTCAAACAGAGACAGTGAGAGAGAGGCCTAGATCTAATTATCCTCACGCATCCACTCTGCTGATGTCCAGCTGGATTTCATTTCGCCTCGGTTATTAGCCGCCGTGTTTTCTTGTGCAAATGATGGGTGAATATATGTTTTTGTTGTTGATGCATATGATCAGCATCAAAGAATCGCATCGCTTAACGTCCCTCATACGAATTCTCTGCTGCTTTTTTTGTTGGATCTCACCAACGGTCCGGGAATGGATTCTGTGTCTGTATCATGTTAGTTCAGTGACCCAAAAGTAAACGCATCTCTCTCAGTCTCTCAGTCTGGGTGCCACTGCAGTGGAACAAGCTGCCGGAGGAGATCAGTGTAGCTTCTGCAGTGTCTCTTGCTACTACACTTAATTTGCACATGGAAATTAATCCCATCTTTTGATGTTTTGTTTGTTTATTTATTAGATCACATTGTATCACTTCTGCCTTTATTGTCTTGTCTGTTTCGATTCTAATTATTGTTAGTAATACACAACATTTGGTAATTTCATGTGGGTCAAAAACAGGATAGCCTGTCGGTCCCTGTTTGCCATGTGATAATAATCATCTTCCAACACACAGTAAAATATGTGGAACTCACATAAAATAACACATAACACGCTCCTCGCTCATCCGCTTGCAGAAAAGGTTTGAAACACCTTCTACTTTTGACAATTGTGGGGTGTTGGCACTCATTTGAATTTTCAAATGTGTTTCGCTTTCGGAGAGAAATTTTGCACGTTGCTACATTTATTTGACAGCCGCATGTGTTACTTATTTTACAGCACGACGCTTTGCATGCTAAATATATGAGACATTTATAAAAGTATATAGTCGGTGTTGTAGATTATACCTGAAAGTGGCTGTTAAGCATAATAAGTACTTTTACAGAACATTCTGAATGCAGGGATTCTACTCGTGAAGGTGTTTTTCACATTAGGGTATTATTGCTTTTGCTGAATTCTGTGTAACTTCTGCCAAACCGTCACCACTGTGGCCAGAAGTGGCAATTACAGGATAATGGTAAATGCAAAAATGTGCTGTGACAGTAGCAGAAGGAAAGAAGGAAAGTAAGCGAAACACTCCATAATGTTGGTTTCACTGCAACTAATGATTACACTGCAACTGATATATCTTATGCATATTAAAGGTACGTTAACATTAGCCACCTTAGGCTACTGGTGATACCCATAGACTAGTCTATGGCTACACTAGACCACCAATAAATCCACTCTGGTTGTCTTTTTCCTTAAAGGGAAGAGGAAAGAGGCATCATGTAATCATATAATGTCTCCATCGTTTAAAAAAAAAAAAGTCTCCTTCTGGTGTTGCTTTAAGGATCTGAATACTTCCTCCACCTCTGCAGAAGACTTTGTTGTAGTAATCAGGTTACACTCATGCGATTTAATGACAGAAGCCCTGTTTTTGCCTTGCATTAAAAATCTAATCTGAATAATGAGTTGGGATCATGCACCTCGCCTTCACACCAGGCTTTTTTTTAAATTTTATTTTGTGCGTTACTTCCTCCAACACTCGGTCCACATCATGATAAGAGATCGCTAATGTACTGTAGGTCAGCGGGTGTGAAGTCAATAAACGGATATCTGCTGTCCTCAGCTCATGTACTGACATGACACGACTGCAAGCTTCACGGATTGAATTTACAGACAAATATCTGATCGCGAAGCAAGATAGACTGTGCACCTCCACATGTGGTCTCACAGACTGGATAACATTGCAGCTGCGGCCCTGTTTACACCTTGCGTTAATATTCTTTTTTTTCCTTATCAAGGTAATATATCCCAGGGCAGGTGACAATGTTATACCAGGTGTGAATGACAGATAGAGAGAACATGCAGTATGTAGATTATATACTGAAGGTGAAATATAGCGGGTGATGGTTAAATAGTAAATGTACCGGTGGCTACATGCTTAACCTTGATGGAACTGTAAGCTTACAGAAATGTGATCCTGCATATAGACCTTCAGTGACAGCATGAATTGAATTGGTCAACTATCAAAGGTTTAAACTAAAGGTTGTTGTTTTTATAAGGAAGTCTTTACCTTCCTCCCTCTTGGATTGCTTTTCAGACTGCTTTAAGAGTCATTATTGTCCTAGCCAAGGCAGAACTGCTTCCCATTTGCCCACAGACATTGTTAATAAGCAATTTATTTTGAAGCCAAATTGAGAGAAGCGATCTCTATTGAAATGGCTTTTGTTTTTGTGTCTCTTTTCTCCCTTTGACAGCATACTTTCCCTATCTGCAGGCAATTATTAGGAGCTGTATTAAGTCTGTCTGAAGGGAATTGATTTGAGCTCCATTCATCTGCTTTGTCTCATTTGTAGACACACACACACACACACACACACACATTCACAGAGCAAGGGCAGTGGTTTTTCTAGGACGCGCTGGCACGGCTGTTGGCAGGCACACACGAGAGGGCTTTCGTGGAGATGGGGTGAAGAGGTTGACGAGGGTGTGGAGAAAAAAAAAACGGCTGAAAATGTGTACAAAATGAATGGAGAATTATTGTTGTTGTGTTCCCAAGATAGTTGCGCTCGCACAAAATGGGTTATTTGACTTTATGTTTGAAACATGGAGCACCTGGACTCTGAGGAAAAGCAAATAATCTGCCTGTGCATACACGCCTACACACACACACACACTCTAACCATTCAACCATTATGAAAGCTAACTGGTTTGTCATAGCCTTTTTCTCCCAGGGACTGGAACCACAGAGGAGGTAACTCTTGTCTGTATTCTTCCAGCCCATCTGGTTGTAAGGCAAAGACTGGCTGACGGTTCTGCCCTCATTTGGCTTGTCTGGTTCCAGTGAGAGCTGTATACTTCATCATATCTCAAAGAGCTTGGCTGTGGAAAAAAAAAAAAAAATCATAATTATCGCTGCTTTCAGATGTAGTGCTCGGTTGTCGGTCTGCTCCCTTTAAAGTATCAATCGTGTAACTTTAACAAAGCATCTTTGGCTAAAAAGTTTCCTCGTTGTTGTATCCCTGAGGACAGTGGAAAGTGGTCAAAGCACAGACAAGTTCTATCCTGGGAGATTGGATTCACTGCAAAATTTTTCTAAATGTCAATACTTTCATCAGAAGTATTTTTCAATCTGAAATCCTGTTTCAGTTTACCTCCACAGGGTGCACACACACACACACACACACACACACACACACACACACACATTGCAGCAGAGTAGCTACGTTAAATAAAATAAAATTAAGATCGCAATAGCCGCAGTTTGATTTGTGAGAGTGCATCGGTCAGCAGATGAGTCAGCTGAGTCACACAGCCGAAAACATGGAAAGACTGTAAAGAAGCCACATAAACCGATGGAGACAAAAAGGCTTCCAGTAGCAGGATATACAACTGTGAGGCTCATAATGGAAAACTGTCATTACTAAATCCCCCCCCAACATTTTTCTTGGAGCAGTGTGGTATTTTAATTGTATCAGTTTTAGGAGACATGAAGGTTATTGCTTTCTAACTTACCTGCGCTGCTGCTTGTTAAACTCTCGGGGATAATATGGCTCGGGGCATGTTACATTTTTTTCCCCTTACAGATGGTTTTAGAGGCACTTAGACCCAGTCTGGGTCCACTGAGGGTCACAGCAGACTCAATCTGCCGTAGCACACCATCGTACACACAAATCTGCTCTTCCCCATAAAGCCTTTTATAAAATATGACCACCGACTCTCTAATAAGGGTATTTATATTTCATGGGCTCGAGAAAAAAAAAAGGACTGCAGACATATAGGACTGTAATTCTCTTTCCATTTTCCATTCTCTTCCTTTTCTGTTCTCTTCTTTTCTCCTCTTGTAGTAAGTGGGTAAATAATGGAACACTAAACAGGGTTTTTTAATGTGTCTGTGTGAAAGACGAAGGAGACAAAGAGAAACCAAGAGGGAGAGGGTTTATTATGTGTATAAATGAAGTACACCCTGTACATGCATACTGGCATACATAAGCTATGGCACTTTTCCTCTGCAGGCTAAAACCCAGGTACAGAAAAAGACAGAGATGCAGTGGATGTGCTAATGTTCGGGGCAAGGAAATGGGAATGAATGGAATGGGAGCTGCATGAATAATGAGTCTAATTATGATTTGGGTGTCGTACAGAGCTGCTGCAGGTATGATGGATTCCTCTTCTGCATGCACCGGTGAAGGACATGGCTCTCCTACCCATAGTAACTTCTGTGTGTGTGTGTGTGTGTGTGTGTGTGTGTTTGCACCTCCACACATTAAAGCTTTTCATATTGTGTTTGTGTTTAGTGCAGCTTGGTTGTAAAAGTTGTTTACTGTGGGTAATGGTATGTTAAATGTGTGTGTCCCCAGGGTTAACTGTCAAACTCCGTAGTAAAACTTAACCACAAAAAGCAGCCAGTCTGAGCAATCCTCCCCTATGCCGAGCTCTTTACTGTTACGGACTGCAGGGCTGCAGTGCTAACTGGAAAATAAACACCTTACCTATTCATGTAAATGAGATTGTGAGTCTGCAAGCCATCGCATAAATTAAGCCGCGCACTGCGATAGCGTCGATGTCGGACAAATATTTGCCCTTTCTCTACACATGCAATGTGTAGGCCCTCATATGGTAATTTAAAGTATTCTTTCCACATGTTTAACGATAGGAAACACACATAAACATCAGGAAAATTTGCAAACCGGTTGTGATTTGAACCTGGACACATTTTTGTTAAGCGTGCCTAAACCTTAGAGTTGGTATTTATCTGTCTATTACACATCAGGGAGTCTAATCCGATCTGAAACACAGCTTTGTGCTGTGTCTGTATTTATGTTAACAACAGCATCCAGAGATAAATTTAAGCTTGTGAAGAGTGTATGGCGCCACTTGAAGGGTGCCTATTCATGTACGCTACATATGACACATTCATTATGTGCTGCATGTGGCTAAATTGACTTTATAGGAAAATAACTCTCTGCTTTACATCTTCCGCATGTACTTATTTATGACGCCCATGTGTGGAAGTACAGACACATACACATTCATGTCTCTTTATAGAAGAAGATATAACTCCTGATAAACACTGTGCATTAGCAAATGTTTAAAAAGATCCCTCTTACAGCTACTTCATAGATTTTTATCAACCACATCAAGTATTTTGCCATCTGGCCGGCTGAACATTCGTTTACAAAAGGCTTACTCATTATATCCAGGTCTTATGTTAATAATAATCCCTGCAAATATGGCAATTTTTCTTAATTATGGAAAAACTTAACCCATCCACGCCTCCTCCCTGGCAGGACGTGCTTTGCTGCGTTTGAACGGGGAGAAGCTGGAGAGGATGGGAATCGTCCAGGAGACGCTGAGGCAGGAGGTCCTCCAACAAGTCCTGCAGCTGCAGGTCAGAGAAGAGGTTCGCAACCTGCAGCTCCTTAGTAGAAGTAAGTAACATGTTGTGTAGTGAGTAACCATGTTGTTGTCTATTTTTGCACGATATTGTGCGCAGGACTTTTGTGTGCATTTGTGAGACAAAGGGAGCTACAAAGACTCTAAGAAACCAGGAGAGAGCAGTTGGGTTTGGCTAAATTGGAAGGAGGCAGCGTGAGACCGAGCATGCTGTGACATGCGTGGAGCTGGGCATCCAAGTGCAATTGTTTGTGGCTGTGTGGTTTTATTGATGAGAGCTGTTGATTTGCTGCACCACCTCTGAATGATGGCTTTGGTAAACACTTTTATTATCCAGCCATCAATAAAGTGGCTCAGTCAATCGCTGCTGACCTGGATTCAGCACTTGATGTGGTTTCCTTTCTTTACCCATGTTTTTGTCTGTTGTGGTGGTTGTTGTAGATAGTTCTTTTCTTTGTGCATTAGTGGCTCAAATGATGGTGAGTTATCAAAGGAAAATGTCTGCACTATTTCCTTTCTCTCCATGGACCTAGATTCCAGTTCCAGTGTTCGGAGGGGATTGTTTAAAGGTCCCGTATTGTGACCTCGTTCAGCAAATTATTGTAAGTCTCACATGCCCCCAGAATGTGTTTTCACCTAAAAAAAAAAATGTTTTTAAATTGCCATCTATTGTAAAGATTTTTTGAAAGTGGGTGGTTGGTTCATTTGACCACGACTGTGTAACCAGTTGTCAAAGCCCTGTTCTAAACAGGCTCCTTATAGCATCTGTAGCTTGACATGCGGTTGAACTGCAGCTGTCCATTCAGGAAGAAGACGTTCTCTATATTTATATAAATGACTGTGTGTTCATTCTCCATTCAAATATCATCAAATTTACTGCACAGCAACTGTTTCCAACTCATTTATGGTGAGATGGTCGGACAACACGGTTATAAAATTGGGAAAGCCGAAGTTTGGAAATGGCTTTGAAGTGCATTCTAGTAAACATGTAGTCTTGATGAGTTGTGTTTCAGTCACTGTTTCATACTTGTTCAATTATCTAACACTAACTGAAAAAATGTGTAAATGAGAACTGTTTTATTGGGAATTCAACTGTATTAAAATGCAGCATATGTGAGCACAAAGAGCAGGAGAGAGGCAAACAGATGTCAACACCGGCCGGCTTAGCTTCACCGAAGATCAACAGGCAACATGAAACCACAGTGACCCACCCAGTTCTTGTTTACTGGTTTCAAATAGGTCTTCAAGTTTGCACCATTTCTTATCTGATCTGATCCTTAACATTACAGTTTCTACAGACCTCTAACCCATGGACATATGATCAAAGCTAATGGTAACATTAGTGTGCTAACACTAAGGATTTACATGTTGTTGGGACAGCTGACATAAAAATGAGCTCCTCAGATCCTGGAAATGCATTAAGACTCTTGTGTTCACTCTTACAACCAACAGCAGAAGATTTGGTTAGATTTGCTCATGGCTGAGCTTTTTTAGAGTTAGCAGAAGCAGCTGTAGAAAGTAAATAAATGTGGCAGACTGTTAAGCAGCTCCTCATTCTGAATCACTCGCCTAGAGTTAGGGGGGCAGAAGAATGGCAGTACTAAGCATTTTTTTTTACCGTACCTTTTGTTTTACACCTCCAAGTTTTTAAGACAAATAAAACACAATAAATATATATATATCTTTTACATATGGGACTTCTAAATCTTTCAGCTTTTGCAGCAAACTATTCCCATTAAATACCTGGATAAATACAACATAAGTAATAACTGACCAGAGGAAATATCCTGCAAAACTTAGGTGTTGCAAGTACAAATGTTTTTCAACTTGTAACAGGATTATATTCTCAATAAAGGCACAGTTTTTCTTTTGTATTCAGAGCCAAATGCCTGCACACCTTACAGCTTTTTCACTCAGGTTTTCCTTTGAGTACTATAATCTTCAAGATCATGACCTATATTCAGCAGCAGCAGCAGCAGCAGCAGCATCGTGGCTGAGAACATGTCTCGAATGAGAGGGGCTCTGCAGTATTTAAAGGGAATTGCATCCAGCTTGTTGTTTCCAATATACTCCCTTGTAATTTTGTACTTACAAGGAGCAAAACCTGTGTTGAGGTTTCAGAGCATCCTGGAGAGCAGGGCTTTTTTTACATTTATTTTTTATTACAAAAACAACTGCATAGCCATTTGCTCTAAATGGCCCAATCTCCCTTGACATAAGTGCTTTTGGCCAAAATTGATTGAATATTTTGTTCAGTCAGACTGAGCAATGTTGTTTTAGCCATCAAGTGATCATTTTAAACTGATGGTGCAAGGGCTCTTACAATCACCAGTTACGTTCAAACCAGCAAATGAAGTGGCCTTCGTACTTTGAGTAGCTCACACTTTTACTTTCTGATCATGCATGCGGCGGATGCTGTTATTGTATGGTCTTCTGCATATTTCTGCTCACTGCAGACTGCTTTAAGATAAGTGTTTAGCAATTATATTCTACATCCATTTTAATTTTAATTACGGGGCCTCAGAGTATGGCAATTTCAGTTCTCTGTATGTTGTACATACGGCAAAACTGACAATAAAGCTGACTTGACTTAATCTTTCCAGAGTGTTTCTGAAGACACCACATGACCTGTGCCTGGTGCCAGACATTTTGTGAGAGCTCCAAATCCCCTCAGTACTGTGAAAGTAAGATAGATAGAAACAGATAGAACTTGGTACCAGAACCAGTGAACAGACTCCTGACTCATTGAATAGCACCATTTAAATTAGAGCATTTTTAAAAACTAGAAAATTTGGTTTGAAAAGTTGTTGATACTCAAAATCAAATAACTGGAAGGACAGTCAGAGATGAGGACCAGCCAATGTCTGCAGGGCTAAATACCAAAAAAACTCCATTATAATTCACTCCGATGCGAGATACCTACATACAAATTAAAACAGACTAAGGTTAAAGACACCACTAACAAAAAAGCCTTTTCCTTTAGGTAGTGGTCTATTTAAATCAGCTTCACACTCATAGTACTGGACTTAGACATGGATTAAGCCCAGTCCTACAATACAAACGGTAATGGAGCTCTGCATTTAATATTTCCTTCAGTCTTGTACAAGTCCTGATCCAAAACTTGTTTGACAAATTTTCTATGCTTATACAGCTAAACTGCATTCCCATCTACGTTTTAAGATAAGTACAGTTTCTTCCTGAAAGGTAAGACTTTGATGTAGTAAAAAAAAAAAAATGCTTCCAGTTTGAAAGTCCATTATTCTTAAGTCCCTTACTTTTTACTTTCTCTCACTGTTTGGTGGTTAGGTTTAGGCACAAATACACCTTGGTTATGTTTTAGAAAAATATCATGCTTTAGGTTAAAATTTTGCTTTCACAGCTATAATTGTGCGTGTTAGCAGCTTGGTTAGATTTAGCCACCGAAACTGCTTGGGTAGATTTAGGAAAATATCATGGTTTGGGTTTAAACATGACACTTTCACAATATGAACAAGCTTTTCTTCCAGTTGCCAGTTTAATGAGTCCTTCCCTATTTAATATACGATTGGCTTTCTGAAAAGGGAGCGACTGTAAAGCAATAAAATGAATGGGGAAGATATGTTGATTAGATTTTGGAAGAAAATGTGTTTCCCTCAAAGCGTGTTTGAAAATGCAGTGTGTAGAAAAGGCATATCTTTATGAGACAGCGTTGCTTAATCAATGTCTGGGAAACTGTATGAATATCTGTTTGAATTTAGACTCTAGCCATAGATGTCTGGGTTGTGTGGCATCTTTACACCGGTGCACCACAACAAACTTACCATTTCATGCTTTGTCTCTCATCGTTTCAGCTCACTCCTTGCAGATACGTGAGCAAAGCGTTTTTGAGTACCTTCATGCCAATCAAGCATGTTGAATTGAATTAAATTTAGAGATGCAACTGGTAAAGAGAAAGAATTAAATTTCTGTTGGACACTTTCATTAACTGAGCAATGCAAATCTAATTTCCCAGTTCAGCAGGCTCTGACTCGAAGCTATAGGGACAAGCTAATTCGGTGGCCTCATACAACACCTGAGCTTCGCAGGGTTGGAGGGTATTCAGAGGTGGTGAAGGTTGGACGAGGTAGGATAAAAAAGATAATGAGAGATGTTTCAGTGTTTTCAATGAAACTAAAAAAAGTGATGAGGTAGTGACAAGGCAGTGAATGAGGGCAAAGGTGAAGGTCTTGACTAAAACGTTTAAAAACTAATTAGTTAAAATGACAACTTTGTCATTATCGACAGTATAAAAACTGCCATTGCAATTAGTCTCTTATGACGAGCAAGTTCTCTGATGCAAAATCTTAAAGGTTGTGTTAATTATTTTTGCATAGAGTGATGACAGGAATCAAGGCAGGAGTCAAAGTGAAAACTCAGTGTCTCAGCCACAGGCGCCCCCATGTCTTTGTGTTTTAACTTTACAAGGAGCATGACTCTAGGGATGACATTGTGCCGGCCTATCTGTTTCAACTCAATACTCAACAACTATTGAATGAGTTGCCATGAAATTTTGTTCAGACATCCACGGCTCCCAGACTATTAATCCTCATATTTATGCTTTTTAGTGAAATGTCTTGGCTATTGGATGGATGAAAATTTTAAAGAGCTACTTACACTTTGTAGGTCTGGGTTTGAAAAAATCTAAAACAATGCTGATGTTTTGACGGAGGTGATATGTGTGGAGAAGCATGGCGATGGTGAAATGGAAAAAGAAAGAGGCAGACTCATACAGTAGCTCATGCACATTAAGGATTTGCACTCGTGTTCTGCTCACAGGACTCCACACACATTGAGCGATTCTCCCGGTATTCTTACATTTCTAGTGTGATTGAGTGGAGCCGTCATAGCATCTGTCAGGTTTGATTCATCTCCAATGGATTCACCAAAAAATTAAATATTGATCTCACAATAACTTTTGAAAAAGAGGGTGAAAATACAGATGGAGAAATGCAGCTGAATCCGATGTGATTTCGTCTCTGATCTGAGCCATGATGGCGCACTTTAACATCAACCATACCGAGCTCTCATATTATTCATGTCAGGATTGTAAAATGCAAACTCCAGTGAAACTTCACCAAGCAATCAGTGCTCTCTCCACCTCCTTTATGAAAAATAACATATAATACCAAGTTGCGATACAGAATTAACAGGGCACATGATTGAAAAGATCACCCAAATACCCGAGGGACGAGATTTAAATATGGCGAGAGGAGAAAAGAAAGGACAGAGAGCTGCAGCTGGAGGTGAGATGTTTACCAGATACCGGGGAAATACTGGGAATGAAATTGACAGATCGCGGAGATAAAGAAATGAGACGAGTAACGAGGTTAATGAAGGGACATGGATAGTGAATGAAAAGCCTGCTCTGATAGCACTTTTATTCCCTGGCTACGGGGCCCTTCTACTTCCCGCTCCTTGTTAATCTGTCTAGAGCAGGCTCACTTGCTCAAAGCTCTGTAATAGCATTTCACACTCAGCATAGAATTACATTACTTCCCTTGCAAATTATTGTTTGAAAATGCTGTTTACTTCACAGTAGCTATGGGAGAAAATGTGTAATTTTCAAAAAAAGCATGTGTCTGTGACTGCAAGCCATTGATTTTTGCTGCATGGGGTCTATAGAAAATGTTTTGATTAATACTGTAAAAGAAATGATTTGACGATAGCAGAATTAAATATATATTAAAGGGAACTACATAAAAGTCAGTTAAGTCATGAGAATTTCTTGGTTTGGCAAAACTAATCTGTCTTTATCAAATCTGACAAAAACAAACAAACAAACAAAAAAAACCCAAAACTGACGGCATCCTCAGGGTTGTCCTCGGTTTGACCAAATATTTGACAGAAAACCTTCATGGCACAGTGGAGGTGTGATGCAGTCATAAGACTAAGAGTGTGTCAGGATGTCTTGGCCTCCCCTGCACCAGCTGTGAATGTTCTTTTTAAATCTGTCTCTGGTAAGTCCCCCAGTTTCGTGGAAGTGCAAAAGTAGACTGCTAGGGTGCTCTTTTAAGGTTAGCTTTTGTGACTTCTACGATTGGGTGTTTTATTCTGTAGCAGTAGCCTCTCCTCAGCCCACTGAAGGGCCCGTGATCTGTTCAGAGTCCTACAAGACTTTTCTTTGCTTCCTGAGTGAACACAAGCAATTCATATATATATTCATGTTTGTGTGATTTTTCGCACTTTTTAACATTTTTTTTACTTCGACTACAGCATACATGAATGGTAATGTGATTATGAATTCGATGTTTTACACAACACACAGCTCATGTTCACTCATCCGTAGATCCATCTTGCATCTGATGCTATGTGCTGTGAATCACCGGTTGTTTGTTTGAGACTAGTCTCATGTAGCTAGACAGCTCAGAATGGTCCAGCTGCACTTTATTATCATTCTGCTATAGGGGCCAAAACACTCTGAGCTGTTTGAATTTCTTTAAACCAATACAAATCGTATTGGGCACGGCTAAGTGAGGGATACAGCGATGGTGTTCCCTTTAGAAGACTGATGGGGGAATTGTTTCTGTGGGACATTTGCATGCAGGGAGGCAAGCACTGTCAGGAAAATCACAGAAAAAAAAAAATAGCAGGGCTGCCTTACTCATTGATCCAAATCCTCAGCAAAACTTAAAATTTCCAGCGTGGTAGGTTGCTGCCCAGAGGTTGTTGTTGTTTCCCGTAGTCAAGGGGATTTTGAAAACGGTAGGAGGGAGGGAGCCGCTTGAAGTGTGCAGGCACAATCTGCACAAGTCAGACTAGTTTTAGACTTTAGATTCATCCACAACTGAGCAGTCATGAAATTATCACTAACTAGTCATGCCATTTTTACATTTTACATCATGTAAAATAGTGAGGAGCAACCTTTAGGCAAAATCCATCACCATGTCGTCACAGACAGGATGGATTCAGGTCAGATAAAATGTGCTCCAATAGTTACAGTTGGTTTCATAGTAAAAAAAAGTCATAGTCACTAAACCTCTCAGGCAATTCCTGCAGCATATTCCGTCTCACTGTCCTCCACACCTGGCCTTATGTTGGATTGCATAGCAACTAACAAACTTCTGGAATCCGCCAAAAGTTAAAACTGCAAACTTTTTAGAAACACTCTGCAGGTTGCTTGAAATTCAAAACCTAATGACATAGCCGCTAAAAAAGCGTGTAGAGGTTTACATCAAAGCATCAAAGCTGTATGCAAATGTATATATATATATACGCTCAAGAGTGCAGCAGTCTGTTGTTGTGTCTCTTCCTGCCATGGTTGGGAAAGCTGTTGTCTTTTATTCTTTGTGCAGGAATCTTGTATTTGTATTTTTAGACTCTTCACTTAGACTATTTCATGTGTTTTCAGCAGGCTACGCTGTTTTATCTCAGTCAGTGAGAGTTAAGGTTGATGTCTTCCATAGCCCAGAGCCATAGCTCTCTCAGGGTAGTGTGAACCATGCAGGGGTTGCAACATCTGGAAAGCTTTGGGAGGGAGGATTCAGATCAGAGCCCAGTGGGAGATTTGCCCTCCTTCTTTGTCGTAGCCACTGGTTGTCGGTATGTCTTTATAACAAACTGTCAGTACCTCCTTCCTGCTCAACATATCAAATTTTCATCAAAGTCGCTCTATGCCTTTGTGTGTAGCCATCTGCCATGTCTCAGAGCCTCAGCTAATTAGCTAAAACTGATGATGTTGCGAATAACCTCAACAAAACACCTGACCCCTCCCACCACAAAGAGATGTGTTGCTGGCAGCACTTTGGATGCTGTGGGAGACTGTCTTGGTAACCTTTTAGCTCTGAATTGCCTCTGTGATGTTGCCCATCCTCGCGGAGCTTTACTCGGAGCTCCATGTGGCGCCTGCCAGCTGAACTGTAGCTCTGAATTAGAATATGAATGAAACTCTGAGCGTGACAGACAGAAAAGAAGGAGGAACATGTCATTTCTCCTCAGCACAAATTTTGCCTGGCTGCTATTCGTCCTGCCCCCCCTCCCTCCACACTCGCCGCTTCTCCTCTGCTGCACCTAGGCTCTGACGACTCCATGGGGAGCTCATTTAAAGGAATTTCTATCAGACAAGCAGCTCTTTCTTTGTTTGTGAAAGCCTCTAGTCATATCAATGGCTCTCCATCCTGTCTGCCTCACCATTCTGCCCCCTCTATCGTTTCGTGGTTCAGGTTCACTCCGGTGCCACGTTACATCTGTCCGTGTCTGGAGACAGGTGGTGCGTCTTCCTTGGCTATCGGGAGAGGAGGGCTTAGAGCTGAAATGCCAACTGTCTGGGAGAGGAAAGTCTGCCGCTGACACTTGAGTCATTTCAGGATGGAACGAACTGGCTAGTTGTCAGGGAAACCACCTGGTCGCATCTGTTGTTTCGGAAGACAGAAAAAGAGATAATGACATTGAGAATGAAGGCTTGTTACTGACGGTGACGTACATCAGTCAATCACAGCATTAAAACCACCTGCCTAATACTGTATAGGTATCCCTTCTGCTGCCAAAACAGCTCTGACGCCTGCAGGCCATGGACATAGGGCCTCTGGGAGTGTCCTGTTATGGTGGCGCTGAGATATTTGGGTTCCTGTGGGTTGCGGGTAGGGCTTCGATGCATTGGTTTGGTTCTGGTGCATGCATCGAATGGTCAGCCAGATTTGGATCTGGGGAGTTGGAGGCTGGATCAACTCCTTGGGCTCTTGGTCGTGTTTCTCGAGCCATTCCGAAGCAGTTTCTGCAGTGCCACAGGGCGTATTATCCTGCTGGCATTGGGTGTGAGGTTGGTCTGCAACAATACTTACAAGATTAACAAGATGATCAATCACTTCACCCGTCCGTGGTTTTCATGTTGAGGCTGATTCGTGTAGAACGTTGGATTTTTGGTAAGAGAATCTAATTAAACAAGTTCATTTGAAGATGTTTATAGTTTTTTCAGCTTGATTGGCCCATTAATCACAGCTTGTATTTTATATTTTAGTGTCTTTTTCACTGCCTGCTGCCATCATTCTCTCACGTTTGCAGTCAACCGGTGTTTCATTCTAAACTGTTGGTTGTTATGGGGGTTGTTGCTCTGTAATTGAGTGCAGCGTGTTACATGAAAAAAGGTCAGCCACACTACTTACTTGATATTACAGTTGAGTCTTGGGGATTAAGGTGTCACATACAGATTCAGAGGGGTGACAAGCCCAGTACTTCGGAAAGGTTCTTAAATGAGACGGATGTGTTTTCAAGGCGACAGAGGCTTAGCACAGAGGGAAAACAACTTCATGGTGCATTAACAGAGACTTGCCAATAGAGAGAAATGCATTTTTTGTGGGAACAAACTACTGCTGACCTTCAACCTCTGCTTTTTCTATCCATGTGAATGCTAATTATGTATCCCCCCCCCTCTCCTCTCGCCCCTCTCTGCAGCCTCCTTTGGAAATTTCTCTTAGCTCATCCCTGCATCCATTTGGCAGCCCTTTCCCTCATCCTCTGTCACAATGCGACTCTAGGAGCCATGGAAGAGCTGCTGTCTTCAGATATGTGAGCAGAGAATCAACGAGTGAAAGGGGAGAGGACGAGCCTATAGACGACATGCCAGCTAGTCTGGAGGATTCTCATTTAACACGGCCAATCTGGTTTACAGACACTGAGATGGAGACAAAGCCCCACTCAAGGCAGGAGCATCCACTATAAGATGAAGATAAGATGAAAGATTGTCAATCCTAGTGATGATGTAGGCCTGACACTGGTACACAGTCAATTATAGCGAATGGTTTCTTGTCTCATTTGGATTGGACTGATTGGGCAATTTGAAGAGAAGATTTTCAGCAGGATTCACCGTTTTCCACTTTCTTCATGAAATGGTTTTATATCAAATAAAACTTCAAACCCAGTGATACTGGAAAAGTGGATAATCCCTCGAATTGTAGAGTAAAAACTGATTGCTATTTAGACCATGTATCCAAGGTGAGGGAAAACTTCCCGTTAATCTTCATTTGTCTTTTGAAGCATCAATTCTGAGCCTGTTCAAAAGGACTGGAGCTGGTCTGAAATGCATTCGACTAACATCAATATAACAAATTCCTCACCCACATGTAACACTGCATTTTTGTCTCAGGATTTTAGTTTTAGAATTTGTAGACTTGGAGGATCAACAATAACACTTTAAGCTGAATGTCATTCCCTCAATAAATCTTTTTGTATTGTGACTTATCTGCAGTATGTCAGTGAGAAATTAGAAATATATATATATATATACAGTATGAGCGTTGTAGAGTAACATACACTTTAATCTGTGTATACTGTAACAGTACTTTAGTATTATATTAATGGAATGGATGCGGGGGCCTCACAGAGTTAATTTGACAGTTACTGACTGTTTATGCTTGATAAAGCAATAATTTAAATGATGGTAGGTGAGGAGGATTAAGCAATGTCTGGTACAAATATTAAATCTTTTCTGTGGAGCTGGGATGCACAGTTTGAGTGTCCGCTGATGGAAGGACACGTCTTGCGCATTACAGTGACAGTATTTCCCAGCCTCGTAGCGTCTGTACTTTGTGTGCACTACTGTCTACTGTACGTCGTTTCTCCCTCACGCAGATGCACAGAGAAAGCACAAGTCTCTGTTGAATTCTGTCCTGTTTCTTTTCCTTAAAGCAGCGCTATAATTTCAAATGCTCCGAAATCAAGATTCTATGACAGCTACCCAGATGCAAGACTCTCACTGTGACTGAAGCCAGCACCTTTGATGTCAATCTAGGCAGCAGCAGACAGCTACGTGTGCAACTATGGGGGCTTAAATCACATGAATAAATAATTGAAATAAATAAATAAACTTCCAACAAACAAAACTTCCCCATCCAACATTTTTCCATCTGTCATTTAACAAGGAGCCTGTTGATGAAGTGAGTTATTGACTGTTAAAAGGGAGAAAACACGCTGTGTTATTTTTAGATTACTGATGTACTGTAAATATCGACACTTTTGGTTTACTTTCACTGATGATTGACGAACTGTTTGAAATGCAAAAAAGGGAAAAATACTTATCTGCCTTGTGGATACAAAGGCATATGGCACGGCACATGATGAAAGCTGTCTTTTTTTTTGGAATAAACTAATTGAGATGAAGCCTTGGTCCTGAGTTTACTTTAATGTATTACTGTTTTTGTTTTTTATTGTTGAGTGTTTTAATATATACTCAGACTGGCAGGCATTGAAAAACAGGCATCTATTTAAAAGGTAACACTGAAGCAACAAAACACCCACTCTAGAAATAAATATAAATTAACAAGATCAAGTGGACCCTCTTTAATTTTATCGCAAGATATCGTTGAAGAGATTCCCAAGGTTTTTGCAGCAGATATTTTGAGGTTGTTAAAACCACTTTTCCAAATGTAAAGCAAAATTCAGTTCTTGCAGGCATCTTTGGGAACAGTTTTTTTTGTTTGTTTGTTTTGGCCCACAGCTGTGCCTTCTTCAAAACTGACTGTATACCGAGGTAAGTGATAGAGCGTCCTCTGAGATTCCAAAAACATCCAAGTGTTGGTTGGGAAGTATAGCTGGTTTATATACATTTGAAATGTGGAGATACTGCACCTAAAGAAATTTAGCACAGGATAATCCCAAGATACATACATACGTAGATATTTCAAAATGTTCTCCACCTCACCAGAAAACGTCACGGGGGAAGATTGTTCCTTTAGCTTCAATGCATTTAGTCCCATGTTCAAGCTTCACTATCCCTTCACAGAAAGAGGTCACATCTTCAGCCTCCTCAACAGCATGGACGACTTCATCATCCCTCTGGAAATGGCGACCAGTTTGAGAAACACAAGATGATGCAGATCGAGTGAGTAAGGTTCATGGGGTAAGAGTTCAAAGCCGCATTTGGCTGCTTCTGTTTCTGTCACCTGTGCTGTGTGGACGGACGCATTGTCCTGAAGCAACAGCATGGCAGGTCCAAGCTTTCCACTCGTTTTTTTTCTTCGATTGTTTCAAACATTTGACTTTTTGCAGACAGTGAAACAAATATGAAATCACAACTGCTTCATTTTAAGGTCACAAAAAAGGTTGTGGTCTTTACTTTAAATCCCAAAAGTGCTCCCGGAAGTTCTATTCTTGCCGTAACCAAGAAATGTTGCACAGCTCTTGTAGCTACTTGTTTTTCTCTTTCCTGCTCTCTCTTTTCCTTCTGTTTATATACAAGTTCCTGTTTTATACTGTCTGCTTATCAGGCTGTGTTGAACAAAGAAATAAGACTTAATCCAAAAGTGAATACAAAAATTTGAATTACGGTAGAATCTAATATTTGTTGCAGCATCTTCCTCAAACTTGGATCTGCTCTCTGACCTGTCATTCGGGGTGCATGAGTCAGGAGTCAAACTCTGTGAATACAAAACGAACGCTGCTTGCCGAAATAGACACATACACTTTGTCTGTCTCTCGCTCACAAAAAGACTTACACACACCGGGATCCAATTACTGAGAGACATGAAGCATCTCACCTGTTAAAAACAGGGCACATGTATGATAAACAGATTCAGTGAACAGTGGCCTTCTCAACCTTGACAGAGAATAAATCCGTGGAGCAGATGGTTGGATGGTGCAGTTAATTGGATACTGTTTACCATTAAGTCTCTTTTCTTTCTCTGCGTGGCATTTGGAAGCGTGCGATCGCTTTTTGAAAAGCCTGTCTTTCATTATTATTCTCTAAAACATCCCAATGCAGAAACTCTTCATCCAGCTTGTTTACCGTTATCTGCTTGTGACTTTGATCAGCTGGATCTCAGTCCTCTGACAGCGCTGAAATCAAATGAGAAACACTCTGTCGTCTCTCATCAGGTGCTGCTGAGGAGCCCCGCAACAGCTGCTTGAGTTGGTGAGTTGCTCTATGGCATAAACAGCTGAAGACTGTAAATTTTCTGGCCGGCGCCCAACTGCTAATATCCAGTACACTCCTACCGAGTACATCAGTGTGTGTGGAAAAAAAATAAAATAAAAAAATCGCATGCATGCTCTCTCAACTTTCACTGGAAAGGTCAAAAGATAAATAACACCATCAACTGCTGGACGGACTCCTCAAGAGCCTTTAAGTGAACGGACCACTCCACCTGGCCAGTTATAAAAATCATTAAGTAGCCTTTTGCTCACTCAGCAGAGGAGGAATGGGAACATAAATCACTGCCACGGTTGGCAGGATTAATCACGGGTCAAACAAGGCCCTGCGTGAACTATTCATCAGCAGCCATTAAAGAAAGCAGGAAGCAGATTTAACTTTATCAGCTGGACATACTGTGCAGCAGAACGGCAGCTGTCACTCAGTCGGTGGTGAAACACCCCCCGGGCAGGAGGGAGGTTATGAACCAGCTGGGCGCCCCCTCGGGTCTAATCAACATATCAGACAAATCCACAATGTGTATCAACACAAAACATTGTCAGAAAAACCAACCGCGCAATTAAAAATGACAAAGATGCCACAGGGGCCCGTGTTCCTGCTTGCTCCATTGTTAGAGCTGCTCTTGACAAATAACAGAACTGCACTGCTCCCTTGTGGAAAATCTGCGCAGACAAACCTTAAGCAGGCATAATCTGTTTGAAATCTTTTGTCCATTGCAACCATAAAATTAGGTGTTAACTTGATGTTATACGGTCTAATACTGCTATTAAATAAGTATCCGTGGTATGATATATCTTTATTAAACAGCAAACTGACACATAGCACAGGAGTGTGCAAAAAATAGGACTTCTGGGAGCTGTATTTAAAAGATTAATGTTACCTTTGATTCATTCATTTCATTAGCACTTTGTTCTCCCGTATGAATCTATCCTCGTTTGTGTGCAGCTCTTGATTTCACCGCGTTTCAACGAAGGGAAACCTTTCTTTCCATCTATGTAATATTTATCAAAACATAATAGATTCCAATATATTTAAATGGCAGCGACAGTAAACATGGTGCAAATAATAAGACTCTACTGCCCTCCACTGGCAATGCTGTCAAACAGCTTTCCCACATAAATTACATCATGGTTTCAGATGATTTCCACTAATAGGAAATATTAGGTCATGATGACTGGCACCAATCAAACACTAAGAGAGACCCTCTGTTGTTTTACTGAAACTGAGTGAGGTGGCGATGATGCCATGAATGATTCATGTGGTTGGAGCTGTGGTACTAGAAAGATGTGGGCTCACACCATATGTGAAACATTTATTATTAGCTGTTTTAAACGGAGGGGACTGCCAGCACGGGGACACTTTAGATGCATAAAGTAAAAAAGGATTGAACTGACTTAAGGCCTTTAATGTGCATTAAAAACACCAGGATTAATCCTGACCTTGAATTCTGGGGTTGGATAATAGATTATTACAAGAGCCACAGGAAGAATGCTTAACAAATTCATTTTACACGGGAGTTTTTGGTTGTCAGCTCAGTGGGTTTGGCAGATT